CCAGCATCGGCAGTTCTTACTATCACTAAATATATGAGAAGCACTTTGGAAGGTAATGAAGTAGAGAAAGGCGCTATATGAATGCAAGATGGGGAGGTTCCAGGTAACGTTTTGGGACATGGGTTTGAATCCCACCACGGCAGATGGTGGAATTTGAATTCCATAAAAGTCCAGAATTAAGAATCCAATGAGAATCAGCAAACCATTGTTGATTGTCGGTGAAAACCCACCTGGTTCACTAATGTCCTTTAGGGAAGGAAAAGGCCATCCTTACCTGGTCTGGCCTACATGTGACTCCAGACCCACAGCACTGTGGGGGGGCTCTTTACTGCCCTCTGGGCAATAAATGCTGGTCTGGCCAATGGTGCCCACTTCACACGAATGAATTAAACAAAAAAATCCTTCATCAATTTTGAACGAAAGCAGACTCCTGAAAGCCTGAGGTGACTAAATGATTTAGCCAAATCCCAATTCTCAATCCAGAAGGTGACCAGGGGATTGTCAAATCCATCTTCAGTCGGTACCACAGAACACAGGTCTTTGTGAAAATGACCAGAAGTGACTTGAGTGAAAAATATTACACAGTAAATTGTTTTAACGTGGAATTTCTGTAAAGAAAGCAGGAGCTGATTCGACTGTAGTTTTCAAAATGGACTTGCATAAATACACGATAAAGAAAAGTCTTCAGGGCAATTGGGAAAGAGTAGGTTTGATTAATCAGTTCTTCCTTCAAATAGCTAGCACAAGAATGAGGGCTGAATGGCCTTCTTGTGCACTTTCTTACCGTATATCAGTGACAACCAGGAAGATAATTGGCATCTTCACAGAAGAAAACACTGAATCTGGGATGGAAATGGCAAATTGTCTGTGTTCTGATTAAATCCCATTAACAGATATTCTGCACATATCTGGTTACATCAAAGAACTGGAAGATTGAAAAGTTTGACCTTCGCATTGTCTTTCAATCCATCTTTGGCTTTGGCTGTGTCCTGGACCAGTATATTTCCCCAAATTAAAGCTACGGTTCAATGCAACAAATGTTTTAATTCCTCCCGATAACAAACATGACTTGCATTTACATAGCGTCCTCAGAAGAATGTCTCAAGGCCTTGCGCAAAAGTGGAAGTCAAACAAAATTGGATGCTAAGATACACAAGGAGAAATTTAGACAGGGGGCCAAAAGCTTGGTCCGGAGAGGATTTTAAAGAGTGTCTTGATGAAGGTGCGTGAGAGAGAGAGAGATTAGGTGTGGACATTTCAAAGCTTGGGGCCCATTCAAGACACAATAGAGAATGTTGGAGCAATTAAAAACTGTGACACCCAAAATGTCAAAAGTGGAGGAGCATTTTGTGGGATCTTAGAGAGTTGTAGAATTGGATGAGGCTTGAGATAAGGAGGGGGGAGACTATGGAGTGGTTTGTGAATAAGGATGAGAATTTTAACATTGAGCTGTTGCCAGGACCAGGATCCATTGAAGGTCGGTGAGTGATGGCGATAATAGGGGAAAGGATTTGCTGGACAGAGATCTCACAGGGATAGACATTTGGGGAATCTGAGAGAGAGAGAGAAGGGGCTAGTTTAGTTATTGTATTGAGAGGTCCCACCAATGGGATCAATGGTAGATGATGACCGTTTTGTTGTCTGCAGGATGCTCTACCACAGCTTTCCGGTGACAACCATGGAATTGGGTGCTGGTTACATAGAACCACTACCCCAGGCACCATAACATTGATCACTGGGGCTGGTAAACGTGCCGAGACAAACAGAATGCTATGGGAAGATGCTGCCCTGCAAGTGTGTGAGGTCTGGCGGCAGATGGCGGTGGGCAGAGGGGTTGTGGGGAGGTGAGAGCTATTGTAATGGAAGTGGCCTTTGCTAACGGGAACCCAAATAGGAGGGGTCTCCACCACCCCAGCCCCACTGGCACAAACACAGACACACACACACACACACACATACACACACACACACTCACAGGCACACACAGGCACACACAGACACACACACACACACACACACACACACAGAGACAGACAGACACACACACACAGACACAGACACACACACACACACACAGACACACA